CCCCTTTTAGTCACACTTTCATAGTTCTGCCTGGCACGCCATGTAAATTTTTAAGGCTGCAATTCAGTACCCTTACCTAGAGGTGAATCCCACTGAACTCAAGTGGGACTTAGTTCTAAGTAAACATGTTTAGTGTTGCATTTTTAGGTTAATAACTGAGGATATATTTGTAAAGCTAGTTTGAAGGTGGGAATGTTCAATATACTGGTTAGTTGTGAAGTTATGTTCTGTTTCCCCCCCACACATCTAAGTTTTAAACGGACAACTGTTTATGTATGCTGCTGCAATGAAAAGGTCTCGGGTAAAGTTTGTTCAGTTGTTCCTGGCTCAACTGCATGTAAAAGCAAAGGAGGAAAATGTGAAACAAGTTTCTGAGGGAAAGTAAAGTAATTTGTTTATTTTATTTTATATCCTTCTAGCAATGAACTTCCAAGTATTGAGAGTGCCTTTGTGGGCAGCAAGAGCAGCATCCCTTGGAATGTTTCAGCAGAAAATAGGCACAGGCACCATGGATTCAATCCAGGTGAAGCTCAATGATTTGATTTAAATTAAAACGTATGGGTCCAGAAGCTCTGAACTACGCAGCAATCCCACCACACATGAAGCAGTGTTCCAGGCAGCAGAACAAATATTCCATACCTTGTAACCTGCATGAGTTGTTACTATATGAAACCAAGCAAGCAAGTGGCTAGTTACAAACCTGTCTTCAACCATCAGCAGACAGAAAAAGGCCACATTGCTACAAATATATCTAATATGATTTTTACAGGATGAAAATCATAAATCCACAGTGAATAGTATCACTTCCATTGTATTCAAAGAGGACAAGGTATGTAACTAGAGGACAGTAGCATAATCATAAATTTGTTCTGTCTCAAATTTTATGTGAGAGCAGATAAAGGATGGCTAATCAGCCTCTGGGACAGATGGTGCAGTAACTTTGCAATATGTAGTAAATTCTCACCACCCAGAACACAGTAATGGTTAGTATAAATTTAAGACCTCCTTTGTGGCCTGCACCAACTCCTCCAAATAAGGCAGAAGATCATCATCCATGTTACCCTTCTCTGCATCATCTATGCTACACAACTTGACACATTACTAAACAGAGTAATGAACAACAACAACAAAAATACAAATGTTAACATGAATCTTGTAAGTAGACAGCTATATTCCCATTTAAGATCACTCAGACCCAGGTGTTCACCTTTCTCCTAAAGTCCCTGGGGCTGTGTCTGAAGGCATATAAAGCAACCACCTTGCTGAAGCAAAGTTGAAGTTCAGTGCTAGGATGAGAGACAGTCAGGTAATCCTACATAAGCAGAATTTGCCAACCTGGCACTCTCCAGAGGGGCTGTGGCTCAGTGGCAGAAGGTCTCTGGTTCAATCCCTAGCATCTTCAGGTAGGTCTGGGAGAGAAACCACCCTGAATTCTTGGGAGAGCTGCTGCCAGTCAGTATAAACCAGGGGTCTGCAACCTTTGAGACAAAAAGAGCCACTTGGACCCGTTTCCGAAGGGAAAAAAACTGGGAGCCGCAAAACCATTGCGACATTTAAAACAAATATATCTCCGGAGCCGCGATCTGACAGCGGGCGGGAAGGTGACGTCGGGACGGTGCGTGACTAACATGCGACGTTACAGCCAGTACAGCGCCCGCCACAGTGGGGAGTGTCGGGGTGCACAACGCACCTCCTCCCCTCGCTAGTATCCGCCCCGGAGCCGCGGCAAAGGTGTAAAAGAGCCACATGCGGCTCCGGAGCCGCGGGTTGCTGACCCCTGGTATAAACAATGCTAAATGGCAGCTTATGTTACCTTTTGACATCATCTCCCATGTCTAAAAATGTTTGTATGTCATGGGTGAATTCTCAAAATCACTTTCATATGAAAAAACTAGTTGCCACTTTTAAACCCCACTGCCTCCTTTGTCTGATAAGCACACATGTGAGGTTTGCCCCTTTCTTCTTGGAGAGCAATAATTTTGTTCCCTGCTTAGTATACCAGAAATATGCAAAACAAACCTCCATAACACTCTTGTGGAACTGTGGAACATAAAATATGTTTTATCTGATAATTTTCCTGTTTGCTTTCTCCCACAAAAAGAACCATTTTGACACCCAAAATAGAGCTCCTTCTTCAAACAGACTTTGCTACTCACCACCACCAATACCCTGAAACAATGCTGCACCCAGGGTAATGTGGGGATTGCAAAATGATGGCTAGTCTGCCAACAGAGCTGGACTCCCTCAGGTGGAAGGTTGGGATAGAAACAGATTAAATAAAATGAATTTGCAAATAAATAAAAAAAGCCATGATGCTTCAAACGAGAACTCATGCCCACAATAAACTGGGATAATTTCTCCTCCCCACGCCTCATAATTTTTGGCAAAATGGTACCGCCTCATTTTACTGCCTGCAAACAGGAAGGGATAATTTCACTATTGGGATGGGATAATTAGCTTTTATGCCTGAGTGTCTAACACTGCTTCCAACTTGTAGCCACCTAAGACACATCCATCTAGTATTTATGGACCCACTGCCTGTGTACATGGAGGCTCCAGGGGGTTATAATGGCTTTGATCATTTGAAGCTACCTTAAAAGAGAGTCTGGTCATTGGCCCATCAAGCATAATATTACCTGCTCTGACTGGCAGCAGCTCTTCAACATCTCAGCCAGCATGTCCCGTTTCTCCCCCCGTGCCCAATATGATCTGCTGGAGATTGAACTGGGATGCCCTGCATTCAAACATAGTGTTTGCCACTGAACTACAGCACCTGCCTCATCCACAGGTTTATCTTTCATGATTTTAGAAATAAAGCTATCTAAGCCAGAGGTTGCCAATCACCCACCACACGCTGTGGCCCTGAATTCCTTACATTAATTACGCACAGTGTGAAGCAGTACTTCCTTCTGTCCACTCTGAACCTACCAGAGATTGATTTTGTGAACCTGCCTGATTCTGAGCCAGACCATGACCCCATCTATGCCAAACTACTGTCATCTCAGATGGGAAGAAACTCTAGTACGGTGGTACCTCGGGATGCGAACAGGATCCATTCTGGAGCCCCATTCGCATACTGAATAGAACTTAAAACGCGACAGCGGATTGGCGCGTCTGTGCGTGCGGCGTTTTGCCGCTTCCACGCATGTGCATGACGTCATTTTGAGCGTCTGCACATGCACGAGCGCTGAAACCCGGAAGTAACACACTCTGTTACTTCCGGGTTGCAGCGGAGTGCAACCTGAAAGCGCTCAACCTGAAGCACATTCAAACCAAGGTATGACTGTATCTCAGACAGAATTTTCTCTTTTTGGGGGAAGTGCTTTGAGCTTTATTACCTAGAAATTAAGAACTAGAAATTAAGAACACATTCTCTCCCTCTCTCCAGCAGCCCCCATCATTACCACCACCCTCCAATTTGGAGGACTCTTCTACCCCACACTTTTTCTTCAGAGCCTTACAAGTTTAAGGTTGGAGGAAAATTCCTTTTCTGCAACAAGAAGAGGAGGGAAATATGTCATAGAACAACACAGCAGGGGACAATCCTAACTGGCAAAGAGAAAATATTCTGACTTTAGACTAAAGTGGGGGTAGAGGCACAATGAGTAGAATAAGTTAGTTGAAATATAGATGAAAACTATAAACACATAAGGGAGGGAAGGAATGCTCTGACCTGAGAATTAAACTGAGGGAGGACACCGAGAACAGGATGCTGGGACTAGACTGTGTGATGGCCTGAAGCAGATTCTTCACACAGCAGGGATGAGGAACCTATGGCCCTCCAGGTGTTCTTGAACTACAACTCTCATCATCACTCACCACCAGTACAGTTGGCTAGGGGTTGATGGGAACTGGAGTTCAACAACAAGAGGACCACAAGGTATGGTGTTGGTTGTAGGGCCCGAGAGGGAAAGGAGGGGATGTCAATGCAAAATATAGAGGAGGGACAGCTAACTTGTGGCAGAGGAAGGACATATAAGAGCTAAATTACTTCTGAGATAAATGCATATAGGTCAAGGTGTAACCTGATCAGAAGTTGAAAGGATGGGGTAAGCAAATGCAAAATGTAAGGAAAGCAAGTTGTATGTGTGTCAGTGCAACAGTGGCAAGAATTGACAAAGTGAGGAAAAAATAGCCTGCCTTTAAGCTAAAGGGGCTGTAGACAGGGGGGGGGGGTGGTAGGATGCAATGTCAATGGTGTGAATAGTCTGACCAGACACTGAAAGGGTAAGGAATAAGACGTGCATGGCTTTATAAAAAAAAGAGGCAAGGCCAGGTGGCTGCTATCTTTGCAAAATTGGGGGCGGGGTGGGGAAGCTGACAATCACGAGGTGGGATAGGAACACCTTGATTGTCGGCTGAAAGGGGAGAGGGCGTAGTCTAGGTGAGAGGACGGGAAGCCAATGCAAAATATGGAGAGGGGAGATAAAATAGGCGGTCACGTGCAAGCTGTAAAGAAGGCAATGCAAAAAAAAAAAACCCGGGGTGGGGTTGGGGACAGAAGTATCTTGAATTTAGGCTGAAGGGAGGAGTGTAGGGAGGTGGGGGGGGGGAGAGAGAACGTAAAGGGATGCCAAAGCGAAATATGGGGCGTGCGGGACAGCGGAGAGGAAAACGACACGGCGGGGCTTTAGGGGCCGTTCGCTTAGTGGCAGAGCACCCTCCCCGCGTGCAGAAGGTCCCGGGTTCAACCCCCCAGAGCTACTGCCAGCCAGTGTAGACAACACTGAGGTGGTTGGGCTCGGCGTAAGGTTGAGATAAAGCGGGGCGGGGTGGGCTGCTGCTGCCGTCGCCGCAAACTAGACCAGGTCCGCCCCTTCTTTTGCCCAGGCCGGACTCTGCACCCATTGTGCGCCTCTTATCCCCCCCCCCCAACTTTGCCAGCCCCACCTCGGGCAGCCCCCTCACGGCAGGGCCCGGCGCTGCGAGAGGGCGGGCAGGACTACTGCGAGGAGGGGGGACGGCCTGATACGGGCCTTACCCAGCCTATGGGGACCAACCTGTGAGGCGAAGCCGCCGCTGCCTGGGTCTCTCCGGGGTCCGCCGCCCTGCGCGAGCTCCTTCCAGCAGGGCCGCCGCCGCCGCCGCCACACCAAGACGCTCCTTCACTCTCCCTCTCGCTTCCCAAGCCAGAGACTGCGCATGCGGGATAGAGGGGAGCGCCCTGGAGTGGCTGGTATAAATACTGTCGTCCTGGGAAGGAAGGGTGCTCGCCACCTGCGTAGCCAGCAGGGGGCAGTGGCGGCGGCAGCTGCAGCAAGGGCGTTGAATTGCTTTTGAAGTGCAGTCACTCAAAGGAGAAGGGGCGGGACGCCACGCCCCGAAGGCGGGGAAACTGTTTCGTCCTCCGGAGTTCTTGCTACCTTCGTTCATTGTTTTCATTCATTTATACGTACCCCGCTTTTCTCCCTGAAAGGGACTCGAGGCGACTTACAGTTAAAACAGGAACAGCTAAAAACATTGGGGAGGGAAACAATTAAACAATAACAGAATTTAAATTATCTGTATGTATAACAGCTAAATTTTAATAGAATTAAAACACATGCTATAAATAAGGGGGTTAGTTAGAGGGGCTGTACAATATTTAGGATAGGGGGATGCTGCGATTTCACATCGGGCTACTATTTCAGTGTTCTGTGTGTTTTGATGTTGTACTCGCCCGCCCTGGGGCCTATGGGGTGGAAAGATGGGCAATAAATTATAATGACAGAACTTTTTTTTTTATTATTCACTGGAGTATTTTGCTAAGCTTTCTTTGCTCCCCCCCCACCCCCCTTTTTTTAATCATGTCAAATTAAGACAGGGACTACCTTAGCTTTTAATACTCTGATCATTTGTACAGTTGTTGTTTTTTAAGTCCTCACTACATCTGTATCCATACCTTTCCTTCTTGTGGTCCCCCTGCCAAAAAAACCACTCTGTCTTTACAACAGACCTGTGACATAGGTTAGTGCTGAGAGCGTGTGCCTAGTTCAAAGTGAGTTTCCTGGCTGAACCGTGATTTGAACCAAGGTCTCCCAGGTCTTAATCCAACACCATAATCACCATACCACACTGGCTCTCATACACCATTGCTGCTTGTCATGCAATCTACATTCCCAGGGGAGCTGAAGGAAGCGGTGGTGTGTCTGCTCTTAAAGAAAACTTCATTAGATCCTTTAGATCTATCCAATTACCGCCCAGTTTCGAATCTTCCGTATCTGGGTAAGGTGATTGAGAAAGCGGTTGCTGAACAGCTTGGCAGGTTTCTGGAGGGAACATCAGATTTAGATCCATTTCAGTCTGGTTTCCATTCTGGTTTCAGGACTAAGATGGTTCTGGTCTCCCTAACAGATTATCTCCATAGACAACTGGATCAAGGCGGGTCAGGACTGCTGATTCTCTTAGATCTGTCAGCAGCCTTTGATATGGTCGATCATGATCTTCTGGACCACCGCCTCGCAGACGTGGGGATACAGGGCACAGCCCGACAATGGCTGTGCTCTTTTATCTCTGGTTGCAGACAGAGGGTGGCACTAGGGAGGGAAATGCCATCGCGCCATTCCTTGGTGTGTGGTGCCACAGGGCGCAATTCTCTCCCCGATGCTTTTAAACATCTTTATGCGCCCCCTTGCCCAGATTATCTGGAGCTTTGGGCTGGGCTGTCACCAATATGCTGATGACACTCAGCTCTATCTGCTGATGGATGGCCACACCGACTCGGCCCCGAACACACTGACCAGATGCTTGGAGGCTGTGGCTGGATGGTTTCGTGGGAGTCGATTGAAACTAAATCCTTCAAAGACAGAGGTCCTATGGCTAGGTCGGGATGGCATGGGGATGAGGGACCAACTCCCTTCTCTTGCGGGGGCCCAATTAGTGCCAGTGCCTTCTGTTAAGAGTTTGGATGTAATCCTTGACACTTCCCTTTCCATAGAGGCGCAAGTTACAGCAACAGCTAAGGCGACATTTTTCCATCTTCGCCACATTAAGCAATTGGTCCCTTACCTTTCCCGCCCCGATCTGGTCACAATGATCCATGCGACGGTCACCTCCAGGCTTGACTACTGTAATTCACTCTACACGGGACTGCCCTTGAAACTGTCCCACAAACTCCAGCAGGTGCAGAATACTGCAGTGAGGCTCCTCATGGGGTCCCTGCCATGGGAGCATATTCACCCAGTGCTTTACCAGTTGCACTGGCTCCCGGTGGAGTATAGGGTCAGGTTCAAGGTGCTGGTCTTGACCTTTAAAGCCCTTTGCGGCTTAGGGCCCTTGTATCTATGGGACCGCCTCTCCTGGTATGCCCCGCAGAGGACCTTAAGGTCCATGAATAACCATAGTTTAGAGGTCCCGGGCCCTAAAGAAGTCAAACTATCCTCCACCAGGGCCAGGGCCTTTTCAGTGATGGCTCCAACCTGGTGAAATGCTCTTTCCCATGAGACTAGGGGCCTTCAGGATTTAATCTCCTTCTGTTGGGCCTATAAGACAGAGCTATTCCACCTGGCCTTTAATTTGAATTCAGCCTGATCTTTTATTTTCCTTTCTATTCCCTCCCCCTCCCCTTTTATGAAGATCACCCACTCTGAGACCCCACAGCTAATTCTCCCCTGGCCTCCTCACTGGCCCAAATAGGACCAATTCAGCCAGCTAGCCCTGGGGATTATCTAACTGATTTTTTATTTTTATACTGTATTTTATGCTGCTTTTATAATTAACTGTTTTAAAGTGTTTTAAATTTGTTGTTAGCTGCCCTGAGCCCAGTTTTTGAACTGGGAAGGATGGAGTATAAATAAATTATTATTATTATTATTACATCTGCTGAAATTCCCTCTTCTACATAACTGTTAAAGCTCTGTCCTCTTTTCCATCTGACCAGTCTAGTTACATTTCATTCTGACCTTATCAAAAGGCAAGCAGGGTTCCTGGGGATGATCTTAAAGCTCAGCTTCGCCCATGTGAGTGCAATCTGTCTTTCAAATAACCAGGTGTGAAATTCCTCCACTATAGATAACACCTGCTTCAAACATGACAACATTCCCTGAAAGGAAAAATCTAGCACTTCAGGGAGAAAGGTGCTAGCACTTTTTAGAGTGCTAGATTGTAGTTAATGCAAGTAGTTCATGCATGCATTTTATTCTGTGAACCACCCTAAGACCCCCAGGCATAGGGCAGTAGAACAACAGCAACAACAACAACAACAACAACAACAATGTGTTACAGTCATACCTCGGGTTACAGATACTTCAGGTTGTGTTTTTTTTCGGTTTACGGACGCACCAAAACCCAGAAGTACCGGAAGGGGTTACTTCTGGGTTCCGACAGTCACGCATGCATAGAAGCGCCAAATCACGCATGGATCACCTTCGCAACCCGAGCGTCCACTGTACTTTAAAAGTGCCTGAATGAGGACACTTTTTGTCTAATGATCTAGCCAACCTCTGCTTGTACAGTGGTACCTCGGGATGCGAACGGGATCCGTTCCTGAGCCCCGTTCGCATCCCGAACAGAACGTAAGATGCAACAGGGCGTCTGTGCGTGCGCGGGTTGTGTTTCGCCACTTCTGCACATGCGCGTGACGTCATTTTGACCATCTGCACATGCGCTCCGTGGCGAAACCCAGAAGTAATGCGCTCCGTTACTTGCAGGTCGCTGCGGACCGCAGCCCGAAAGCGCTCAACCTGAAGCGTATTTATCCCGAGGTATGACTCTATCTCTTAAATTAGGTCCTCCCCTAAAAGCTGAGCCCCTTTGTTGTTCTCCCCAACTTGTTGATGTCTGCTATTTCTCTCATTCTCTGTAACTGTAACTAGTTTATGCATTAATAAAGCCTTTGAACTCCAGAAACTTGTAACTAATTGTTCCAATCTAATTCACTCAAGCTGCAAGGTCTGCTAACAATGGTGAAGAATTATATCTTGAGATTTTAACATTCCTACTTGAGATTTCCACTGGCCTGGGGACAATGAATATCTCAATAGGGATCAGAAAGGTGTGTTTTAAAACTTCAAATGGAAACCGTGAGTCTGCCAAAAAGGCAACACCCATCACAGCACAGCTACAAATGATGGCTCTCTTGTTAAGATGCATCCAAAAATAATTTGGTATGTATTCAACTTTGGTTCTTCCACAGTATGCAGGGTTAGGGGCAAGGCAGCACACAATTGTGGTGTTTGTTTGCTTGCTTGCTTGCTTGCTTGCCTGCCTGCTTTTTGGTGCCAGTTTTGCGGACAAGGAAATAAGAGCAGAGTTGGAACAGATCTCAAAGATCTAGTCCAACCCCATCGACGCAGGAAATCTGCTGATACAGTTGGTGGCCATCTAGCATCTACCTAAAGAACTCTTAACAAAAGAGAGTTTGACACCTTCCAAAGCAATCTGTTCCACTGTTGAACCATTAGTAACATCTGGAAAATACCTTTTAATGTCTGGCCAAAATCACAGCCCCAGATGCATACATCAGAACAAGTTCTCTTTTTCCCTCACATCACAATAAGCCAGACTTTCTGGCTCATTGTGGTTTATTGTGAATAAGCAGTGTGCTGAAACATGCAGCTCACTTCACTCCTCCCCTGGTACAAATAAGGTAAATGCACCCAGATGCCTTGGCATCTAGCTACATCCGAACCAGGAATCAGAGCTTCTTGCTCCCTGGAAAGTCATGGTCGCTAGCTATGGTTTGCTGTTGGCTTCCTGATCATGGTTTGTGAAAGGGCAATGGACCATTATTCATGGTTTGGATGTACAGTGGTTCCTTGGTTTTCAAACATAATCTATTCCAGAAGACCATTCGAGTCCCGAAACATTCGATAACCAAAAACTCAATATGGAAAACTCAATACGGAAGCCGCATGGCATGTTTGACTTCTAAAAAGTGTTCGAAAACCAAAGCACTTACTTCCGGGTTTACAGTGTTCCAAAACCAAAATGTTCATCAATGGAGACGTTCGTAAACCAATATACCACTGTAACAGGGTGTGATGGCCTGTGGCTCGGGCTCGGGCTTGGAACCGGAGGAGTCTCAGTCTGCACCAGATCCTCTGCCTCAGGTGGCATCTGAACCGAGTCTGGGGCCTGATTCTGAAGAGCCCCAGTCTGCACAGGTTCCCCTGCAACATGCACCAGTTGAGCTGAGTCAGGGACCTGAGCCTGCCCTGGCTCCAGATG